TCATTTTATTAAAATATTTATAAGCTACCCTCAAACACCTCCCTGTAGAAAAATTTCAATCTAGCTAAACAGTATATAACGCTCTACTAAAAGAAAAATAGATGGCTGATTCATTTCATTAAAATATGTATAAGCTACCCTCAAACACTTCCCTGTACAAAAAATTTCCATCTAGCTAAACAGTATATAACGCTCTACTAATAGAAAAATAGACGGCTGATTCATTTTATTAACATATGTATAAGCTACCCTCAAACACCTCCCTGTACAAAAAAATTTCTATCTAGCTAAACAGTATATAACGCTCTACTAATAGAAAAATAGACGGCTGATTCATTTTATTAAAATATTTATAAGCTACCCTCAAACACCTCCCTGTAGAAAAATTTCCATCTAGCTAAACAGTATATAACGCTCTACTAAAAGAAAAATAGATGGCTGATTCATTTCATTAAAATATGTATAAGCTACCCTCAAACACTTCCCTGTACAAAAATTTCCATCTAGCTAAACAGTATATAACGCTCTACTAATAGAAAAATAGACGGCTGATTTATTTTATTAAAATATGTATAAGCTACCCTCAAACACCTCCCTGTACAAAAATTTCCATCTAGCTAAACAGTATATAATGCTCTTCTAAAAGAAAAATAGATGGCTGATTCATTTCATTAAAATATGTATAAGCTACCCTCAAACACCTCCCTGTACAAAAATTTCCATCTAGCTAAACAGTATATAACGCTCTACTAATAGAAAAATAGACGGCTGATTCATTTTATTAAAATATGTATAAGCTACCCTCAAACACCTCCCTGTACAAAAATTTCCATCTAGCTAAACAGTATATAACGCTCTACTAATAGAAAAATAGACGGCTGATTCATTTTATTAAAATAGGTATAAGCTACCCTCAAACACCTCCCTGTACAAAAATTTCCATCTAGCTAAACAGTATATAACGCTCTACTAATAGAAAACTAGACGGCTGATTCATTTTATTAAAATATGTATAAGCTACCCTCAAACACCTCCCTGTACAAAAATTTCTATCTAGCTAAACAGTATATAACGCTCTACTAATAGAAAAATAGACGGCTGATTCATTTTATTAAAATATTTATAAGCTACCCTCAAACACCTCCCTGTAGAAAAATTTCAATCTAGCTAAACAGTATATAACGCTCTACTAAAAGAAAAATAGATGGCTGATTCATTTCATTAAAATATGTATAAGCTACCCTCAAACACTTCCCTGTACAAAAAATTTCCATCTAGCTAAACAGTATATAACGCTCTACTAATAGAAAAATAGACGGCTGATTCATTTTATTAACATATGTATAAGCTACCCTCAAACACCTCCCTGTACAAAAAAATTTCTATCTAGCTAAACAGTATATAACGCTCTACTAATAGAAAAATAGACGGCTGATTCATTTTATTAAAATATTTATAAGCTACCCTCAAACACCTCCCTGTAGAAAAATTTCCATCTAGCTAAACAGTATATAACGCTCTACTAAAAGAAAAATAGATGGCTGATTCATTTCATTAAAATATGTATAAGCTACCCTCAAACACTTCCCTGTACAAAAATTTCCATCTAGCTAAACAGTATATAACGCTCTACTAATAGAAAAATAGACGGCTGATTCATTTTATTAAAATATGTATAAGCTACCCTCAAACACCTCCCTGTACAAAAATTTCCATCTAGCTAAACAGTATATAACGCTCTACTAATAGAAAAATAGACGGCTGATTCATTTTATTAAAATATGTTTAAGCTACCCTCAAACACCTCCCTGTACAACAATTTCCATCTAGCTAAACAGTATATAACGCTCTACTAATAGAAAACTAGACGGCTGATTCATTTTATTAAAATATGTATAAGCTACCCTCAAACACCTCCCTGTACAAAAATTTCCATCTAGCTAAACAGTATAAAACGCTATACTAATAGAAAAATAGACGGCTGATTCATTTTATTAAAGTATGTATAAGCTACCCTCAAACACCTCCCTGTACAAAAATTTCCATCTAGCTAAACAGTATATAACGCTGTATATAACGCTCTACTAATAGAAAACTAGACGGCTGATTCATTTTATTAAAATATGTAAAAGCTACCCTCAAACACCTCCCTGTACAAAAAATTTCCATCTAGCTAAACAGTATATAACGCTCTACTAATAGAAAAATAGACGGCTGATTCATTTTATTAAAATATGTATAAGCTACCCTCAAACACCTCCCTGTACAAAAATTTCCATCTAGCTAAACAGTATATAACGCTGTATATAACGCTCTACTAATAGAAAACTAGACGGCTGATTCATTTTATTAAAATATGTATAAGCTACCCTCAAACACCTCCCTGTACAAAAATTTCCATCTAGCTAAACAGTATATAACGCTCTACTAATAGAAAACTAGACGGCTGATTCATTTTATTAAAATATGTATAAGCTACCCTCAAACACCTCCCTGTACAAAAATTTCCATCTAGCTAAACAGTATAAAACGCTATACTAATAGAAAAATAGACGGCTGATTCATTTTATTAAAGTATGTATAAGCTACCCTCAAACACCTCCCTGTACAAAAATTTCCATCTAGCTAAACAGTATATAACGCTGTATATAACGCTCTACTAATAGAAAACTAGACGGCTGATTCATTTTATTAAAATATGTAAAAGCTACCCTCAAACACCTCCCTGTACAAAAAATTTCCATCTAGCTAAACAGTATATAACGCTCTACTAATAGAAAAATAGACGGCTGATTCATTTTATTAAAATATGTATAAGCTACCCTCAAACACCTCCCTGTACAAAAATTTCCATCTAGCTAAACAGTATATAACGCTGTATATAACGCTCTACTAATAGAAAACTAGACGGCTGATTCATTTTATTAAAATATGTATAAGCTACCCTCAAACACCTCCCTGTACAAAAATTTCCATCTAGCTAAACAGTATATAACGCTCTACTAATAGAAAAATAGACGGCTGATTCATTTTATTAAAATATGTATAAGCTACCCTCAAACACCTCCCTGTACAAAAATTTCCATCTAGCTAAACAGTATATAACGCTCTACTAATAGAAAAATAGACGGCTGATTCATTTATTAAAATATGTATAAGCTACCCTCAAACACCTCCCTGTACAAAAATTTCCATCTAGCTAAACAGTATATAACGCTCTACTAATAGAAAACTAGACGGCTGATTCATTTTATTAAAATATGTATAAGCTAACCTCAAACACCTCCCTGTACAAAAATTTCCATCTAGCTAAACAGTATAAAACGCTCTACTAATAGAAAAATAGACGGCTGATTCATTTTATTAAAATATGTATAAGCTACCGTCAAACACCTCCCTGTACAAAAATTTCCATCTAGCTAAACAGTATATAACGCTGTATATAACGCTCTACTAATAGAAAACTAGACGGCTGATTCATTTTGTTAAAATATGTATAAGCTACCCTCAAACACCTCCCTGTACAAAAAATTTCCATCTAGCTAAACAGTATATAACGCTCTACTAATAGAAAAATAGACGGCTGATTCATTTTATTAAAATATGTATAAGCTACCCTCAAACACCTCCCTGTACAAAAATTTCCATCTAGCTAAACAGTATATAACGCTCTACTAATAGAAAAATAGACGGCTGATTCATTTTATTAAAATATGTATGAGCTACCCTCAAACACATCCCTGTACAAAAATTTCCATCTAGCTAAACAGTATATAACGCTCTACTAATAGAAAAAAAGACGGCTGATTCATTTTATTAAAATATGTATAAGCTACCCTCAAACACCTCCCTGTACAAAAATTCCCATCTAGCTAAACAGTATATAACGCTCTACTAATAGAAAAATAGACGGCTGATTCATTTTAATAAAATATGTATAAGCTACCCTCAAACACCTCCCTGTACAAAAATTTCCATCTAGCTAAACAGTATGTAACGCTCTACTAATAGAAAAATAGACGGCTGATTCATTTTCTTAAAATATGTATAAGCTACCCTCAAACACCTCCCTGTACAAAAATTTCCATCTAGCTAAACAGTATATAACGCTCTACTAATAGAAAAATAGACGGCTGATTCATTTTATTAAAATATGTAAAAACTACCCTCAAACACCTCCCTGTACAAAAATTTCTATCTAGCTAAACAGTATATAACGCTCTACTAATAGAAAAATAGACGGCTGTTTCATTTTATTAAAATATGTATAAGCTATCCTCAAACACCTCCCTGTACAAAAATTTCCATCTAGCTAAACAGTATATAACGCTCTACTAATAGAAAACTAGACGGCTGATTCATTTTATTAAAATATGTATGAGCTACCCTCAAACACCTCCCTGTACAAAAAATTTCCATCTAGCTAAACAGTATATAACGCTCTACTAATAGAAAAATAGACGGCTGATTCATTTTATTAAAATATGTATAAGCTACCCTCAAACACCTCCCTGTACAAAAATTTCCATCTAGCTAAACAGTATGTAACGCTCTACTAATAGAAAACTAGACGGCTGATTCATTTTATTAAAATATGTATGAGCTACCCTCAAACACCTCCCTGTACAAAAAATTTCCATCTAGCTAAACAGTATATAACGCTCTACTAATAGAAAAATAGACGGCTGATTCATTTTATTAAAATATGTATAAGCTACCCTCAAACACCTCCCTGTACAAAAATTTCCATCTAGCTAAACAGTATATAACGCTCTACTAATAGAAAACTAGACGGCTGATTCATTTTATTAAAATATGTATGAGCTACCCTCAAACACCTCCCTGTACAAAAAATTTCCATCTAGCTAAACAGTATATAACGCTCTACTAATAGAAAAATAGACGGCTGATTCATTTTATTAAAATATGTATAAGCTACCCTCAAACACCTCCCTGTACAAAAATTTCCATCTAGCTAAACAGTATATAACGCTCTACTAATAGAAAAATAGACGGCTAATTCATTTTATTGAAATATGTATAGATTAGAATTATGTATAGAAATATGTATGAAAGGAACGATCTACTTGTCTATTTGAAACACTAGGCTTCATTTGAATCTCAGCTCAGCTAAGTGAAGAAATTTTTCTGACGAATGACGTCTCCTTTCTGCGTGAGAAAATAACAGTCCGAATTGAAGAACTGAATATCCAAAACTGATTTCAAATTGACTGTTTTGCTGAAAGTTTCCCCAGTAGAAAAATCACCGTTGTAATGCATATAGGCAAATCGAACTTCGTTTTCCGATATGGAATACGCAATGAGAACAGGTTGTTCATTAAACAATTCAAAAGCAATGTTGGTGACAGGCTGAACAGTCTGAGCGTTCAATTGACCTGCACCTCTAAGACCACGCTGATCTTTCATAATATATAATTTAATTCTATCAGGCTGGTTGGAATGCGCCATGTAAAACGAATTTGGAACTATATTCGAGGAAACAGCAAACTTATCAGCAGGACCGATACGAATGTCTTCGCGCAAATTATCTGCACACTGCCACGTCCAGCTTGCTGTAGCCGATAATATATAAAAGTGATGCTGAAAGGCTCCTTTGTGATAATAGAATCCTTTTACGTTGGGTACATCTATTTCCCACCGATCAACCAGCTGAATTTTCCCCTCCGAGGTCTTGAAAGCATGGTAGCTTTTTTCGCCAACTTGAAACACCACGCCTCCGAAACAGGAAAACAGTCGGAAAAACTTGCCATCTACATCCTTAACACACTTCAATGTTGCTTTATCACTCTTGTCAATAAATTGGAATGAAATGTAATGGCTGTTTTCACGGAAGTGTGCAATACATAAATGGGAGTCAGAAGCCGCCATTTCAATTTTTTTGTTCGGGTAATTTTTGAAATAATTACAATCAACAGGTAATGGTAATTTGGACGAATTACCATCGATTCCACTTTCAGCGATTGAAGTAAGCACTTCGACCATTTCATCTGTGAACGCTTTCAAAGTGAGTTCCAAGGATTCTTTCAGACTGTTTTCGACAGCAAGAACTTCGTTTGAGCCAAAAGATTCATCGCAAATTAAACTGCCATCAACGTCATCAGTTAAAATTTCGAGTGAATTCAGATCAAATTCTTTGACCAGACGACCATCTGAGAAGCTAAGCAACTCTCTCCATTTACGTTGCTTCGACTCAGCAGAATCGCGAACTTCTTCTAATTTCTTAACGAAGTCGTTGGCTCTCGATTCATTTGAGCTCGCAGATTCTACAACAGACTTGATGTCTTCGTCTACTTCTTCTAAAACATCTTGAAACAATTGACTGAGTTTAACTTTGATACCATCATCGTGTGACATGTCTACACCCATTTTTTTCACCTTATCAGCAAATTTTTTAGCGCTGGCTAAATTTTTGACAATTGGCTTGTATTCTTTGTCAATACCGCTTAAAGCTTCATGCACTTTCGCTTTTATTTCGTTGGCTTGTTTCTCTAGCGGAACAATTTGGTGTCCTTCGATTGCGTGTTTTTGTGCAACGCACATATTACAAATCAGTTGATCGCAATCTACACAAAAAGAGCTGCAAACTACGAAATGCTGCTGACATACGATAGCTTTCATTTGTTTGTAGTCCAAAACATCATGTTTTCTCCTTGTATGCGTTTGAATACAAATTTCACACATGAGAAAATCTGAGCCTTGGTCGGAGGAATCGGCGCTTTTCGCTTGTTCACACGTTGTACATCTAAACTTCAGTTTCAAATCAGTTATTGTCATCGTGCACACCGAGCAGTTAAAAGTAACCGCGGCTTGACTCGATCTAGGTTCGTTATCTGTTTCAGCTTCCATGCTGATGAACTGAGAAATAAACTCGAACAAGATTGCTCGTATCAGGGCGAAGCCCTGAATGTTCCGACTGCCTTTTAAGGTTTTATGGAACAGTAATAACATTAAAACAATAAATGAAATAAAATAAAATGAAATTTTTTTTTCTAAAATTTGAATTTTTTCGTCCCCCCACACGCCATCGTCCCCCCCACACGCCATATAAAGTACAAAAAGATAAATTCGCGAAAAATGATCACAGGTGAAATATCTTTTCAAATTTGAGCTCAGGACAACGATACCTTTCGAATGATATAATAAAATTCCGTCAAAAATGGCTAGTTAAAAAGTCGAAATTTGTCTGAAGAAAAAAAAACCCACCCCGAGCACAAACATTCCGTTACTTTCGTATCGAAAGTCGGAACAACAAGACTACTCGTATCAGGGCGAAGCCCTGAATGTTCCGACTGCCTTTTAAGGTTTATGGAGCAGTAATAACATTAAAAAATTTATTGAAATAAAACAAAATGAAATTTTTTTTTCTAAAATTTGAAATTTTTTATGAAAGTCATCCCCCCACACGCGATAATTAGTACAAAAGATAGATTTCGCTCCTTGTAACAAATAAATAATGGCAATTATTTTTTTCAACCAATTTGGAACAATTTTAAGACGGGTTAACTCTCCTCTTGCGCGTTAATAGCGCGAAAAATATCGCGCGTTAATTGTCCCAAATTGGCCAAAAATGCAATTTTTAAACCCCCATAACTTTACGAAAAATGATCACAGGTAGAATATCTTTTCAAATTTGAGCTCAAGACAACGTTACTTTTTGAATGATATAAAAAATTCCGTCAAAAATGGCTAGTTAAAAAGTCGAAATTTGTCTGAAGAAAAAAACCCACACCGAGCACAAATATTGTGTAACTTCCGTATCGAAAGTCGGAACAATAAAGGATGGCAGAGCTTAATAGACGGAACAAACAAAAAATAAGAAAGTATAGTTCAATTACTTATGGTAGGCCAAAAGAATGCAAATTTTCATCAAGTTGAATCAAGTTAAGCCAATAAATAATGTGCCACGAGTAATTCGTTGAAGAATTCCTTCGGTCAAATAGCAGACCTAGTTGTCTGAAACATGTTACCACAAGTAAAATTTCACCATTCTTTCACCAATAGTGGTAAAACAAACGTAAACTCAAGTTTGCGTTCAATTTCGTTTCTTTACCATCTGAAAGTCATGTTTCAATGGTCAATATGAACAGCATTTGTGTGGTAGTTAAACAAGATTTTTGCATGAACATGAGCAAATAATCTCAACTATATATTAAGAAAGTGTCATTACTTGGATTTGAACACTTACCAGTGTTTTCAGGGTCTGAAGATGCCCGTTTTCACCAATTGCCATCTATTTTTTTAGGAGACGGAACACTTTGTCGAATAAGCGGGGTAAAAAGAGTTGATCATGCCATCTGCAAAATTTTTAATCAGAAATTGAATTGTCAAGAGTGAGAACTTTCCTCTGCTCGACCGTGTTTTAAAATTTCACGCCGTTGCAAAAACTTAAGGCAGCTGGCAAAAACTGGCTTTTTTCACCCGCAAAACACTGGTAAGTTCTTAAAATCAAGTAATGACACTTCATAAAAAATTAGCTGAGAGCATTCCCTCTAAGTAAATCGTGCCTAAAGTTGTCATTGAGTTTCGGTATTTTTAAAAGAATAAAAACTTCAATTTGCGTATAATTTTGTCTACTAGAGGAGAAAAAAGGGCAAGACCAGTTTTTTTACACAGAGGCGAAGCAGATCGCACTTGATAGAAAAAATGAATGAAAAGGAAAAATTTTTTTGAAAAATCAGATTGGAAAAATGTTGGAAAACGTTTTTGAAAATTGAACGAGCAACAAGTCAGTTTGACTCCAACTAGCAATTTAAACTGGCCAGCTAAGCAGCATCCACCTGATGAACTATTTTCAAACAGCACACTAATGAAAAAAAAAACAATTTTTCAGATAACGCAATGAAGTTCTAATCTGAATTGTTCATTTGATGTCGAGTTCATCAAAACTAATTAAACTGGGACTAAATTATAAATTTGTTTTTGCCTAAGATATCCAAAACAGCCGAAGAAGACAAAAAAACTGAAAGGAGGCATATAACATCCAAAACAGCCGAAGAAGCCCAAAAATAGGCATGTAAAACATTTAAAACAGCCGGAGAAGCCCAAAAGGAGGCATGTAAAGAGAGACACTGTTTGACACAAGTATGGTAGTTTAGTCCTTAGAATAACGTGTATGGAATATAGGTACCGCCAATTGGATAAGTGCCACCAATCTCAAAACCACAAGATAACAAGACCTCTTTCCGAAGATTTTAAAAGACCATATTTTTCTCCGAAGATATCAGTACCATACCAGCACCCCTTGAACTGTACTTAATTTTTTTCAAATAAGTTTGTAGGCGACCGACATAGTAGCTCCTGAAATTTAAAAAATCATTTCAGGGATCTCTCATACTTGTGAACTACATGGATAGATCACACAGCAAGGTTTGAACTGGGACGAACACAAAATTTTCATCATCTTCCCATACGCCATATAAAATACCAATGACAGATTTCGCTCAAAGAAAACCGACCCTAAAACTTTTCTAAAGGCGCCTTTGGCGCCAATATATACTAACTTTGAGGGGGGAGCGCGCGCCGAAAAAACGCAATTTTTTAGTCAAAATGTTTTCAAAAACGGCTTTTTTGACTGTTTTTTCAAAAATTTGCCAGCGGCGCAAAAAATTTTGCCAAAAAAAGGTCAAAACACTGTGCTTTGGAAGAGCTCGAAAAATCATTTTGGTCGGCCTAAAAAAATTCAAAATTTTCGAAAATTTTTTGAAAATTTGCACCCCCCCCCCCTCGAGAAAACCCTAAATCCGCCCCTGACCCATAGCCTGCTTCAATCAATATCAAAATTGAACCAATTCTCGGACGGATTAAATCTCCGCTTACGCATAAATAGTGTGAAGTATATCATATCACGCGTTATTTGTCGAATTGGCCAAACTGGCAGTCTTTAAACTCTCAAAACTTTACGACAATAATACCTTTGGATAATACAAAAAATTCCTTAAAGACTGGTTTGTTAAAAAAAATCGAAATTTGTCTTGGGGAAAAAACCACCCCGAGCACAAAAATTCTGTCACTTTTTTCAAAAATGGAAATACAAATCCAAACCAAAATCAGCCTGTTTAGATAATAAAAACATTTTGTTAATTTAGTGAAAATAAAAATTAAAAAAAAAGTTGCAATGCACTAATAAATAATCTTTTTTTAAATCCAATGATTTTTTTTCTTGTTTCAAAATGAACATCATGCTTGCAGTAAACCATGTTTTGAAATAGATTTTTTTGAGAGATGAGAACAAAATAAGTTTTCTGTTCATCGTTTGACGATGAAAAGAGGTTCTAATGCGATAATTTTCAGAAAAAAAAACTGAATACTTTGCGAATATATGGGCGATAAGTGTTTGTATCATCGTGATTATATGATTGAAAAACTATACTTTATAGGGTTTACATGGGGAAGAAAAAGAGTATATTGCAATTAACTGAACAGAAAAACAGATTTTTTTTGTTATAATATTCAGAAAAAAAAACATTTATTTCCAATGTAATTGAAATGAAATGAAACTATCTTAATGGTTATTTTGACAAAATCATCTGTTTTTTTTTTTCATTTTCGAGCATAAAATTGTCAGATGTAAGATAATTAGTGTGCTAATTTGTTGTTCAAAATGAAATTGCCAGATAATTGAATTCTGTGGGAGAAATTTTTGTACTGTTATTTATTACGATCCATTGAATTGATTTAGTTCTTTTTTGAACGATTTTGCCATGAATACCTTTTGCCAGCGCACACAAAATTTTGCCAAAATAAGGTCAAAACACTGTGCTTTGGAAGAGCTCGAAAAATCAATTTGGTCGGCCTAAAAAAATTCAAAATTTTCGAAAATTTTTTGAAAATTTGCACCCCCCCCCCTTGAGAAAACCCCAAATCCGCCCCTGACCCATAGCCTGCTTCAATCAATATCAAAATTGAACCAATTCTCGGACGGATTAAATCTCCGCTTACGCGTTAATAGTGTGAAGTATATCATATCACGCGTTATTTGTCGATTTGGCCAAACTGGCATGGCAGTCTTTAAACCCTCAAAACTTTACGACAATAATACCTTTGGATAATACAAAAAATTCCTTAAAGACTGGTTTGTTGAAAAAAATCGAAATTTGTCTTGGGGAAAAAACCACCCCGAGTACAAAAATTCTGTCACTTTTTTCAAAAATGGAAAAACAAATCCAAACCAAAATCAGCCTGTTTAGATTATAAAAACATTTTGTTAATTTAGTGAAAATAAAAATTAAAAAAAATGTTGCAATGCACTAATAAATAAACTTTTTTTAAATCCAATGATTTTTTTTCTTGTTTCAAAATGAACGTCATGCTTACAGTAAACCATGTTTTGAAATATATTTTTTTGAGAGATGAGAACAAAATAAGTTTTCTGTTCATCGTTTGACGATGAAAAGAGGTTCTAATGCGATAATTTTCAGAAAAAAAACTGAATACTTTGCGAATATATGGGCGATAACTGTTTGTATCATCGTGATTATATGATTGAAAAACTATACTTTATAGGATTTAAATGGGGAAGAAAAAGAGTGTATTGCAATTAACTGAACAGAAAAATAGATTTTTTTGTTATAATATTCAGAAAAAAAAACATTTATTTCCAATGTAATTGAAATGAAATGAAACTATCTTAATGGTTATTTTGACAAAATCATCTGTTTTTTTTTCATTTTCGAGCATAAAATTGTCAGATGTAAGATAATTAGTGTGCAAATTTGTTGTTCAAAATGAAATTGCCAGATAATTGAATTCTGTGGGAGAAATTTCTGTACTGTTATTTATTACGATCCATTGAATTGATTTAGTTCTTTTTTGAACGATTTTGCCATGAATACCTTTTGCCAGCGGCGCACAAAATTTTGCCAAAATAAGGTCAAAACACTGTGCTTTCGAAGAGCTCGAAAAATCAATTTGGTCGGCCTAAAAAAATTCAAAATTTTCGAACAATTTTTGAAAATTTGCACCCCCCCTCGAGAAAATCCTAAATCCGCCCCTGACCCATAGCCTGCTTCAATCAATATCAAAATTGAACCAATTCTCGGACGGATTAAATCTCCGCTTACGCGTTAATAGTGTGAAGTATATCATATCACGCGTTATTTGTCGAATTGGCCAAACTGGCAGTCTTTAAACCCTCAAAACTTTACGACAATAATACCTTTGGATAATACAAAAAATTACTTAAAGACTGGTTTGTTAAAAAAAATTGAAATTTGTCTTGGGGAAAAAACCACCCCGAGCACAAAAATTCTGTCACTTTTTTCAAAAATGGAAATACAAATCCAAACCAAAATCAGCCTCTTTAGATTATAAAAACATTTTGTTAATTTAGTGAAAATAAAAATTAAAAAAAAAGTTGCAATGCACTAATCAATAAACTTTTTTTAAATCCAATGATTTTTTTTCTTGTTTCAAAATGAACGTCATGCTTACAGTAAACCATGTTTTGAAATAGATTTTTTTGAGAGCTGAGAACAAAATAAGTTTTCTGTTCATCGTTTGACGATGAAAAGAGGTTCTAATGCGATAATTTTCAGAAAAAAAAACTGAATACTTTGCGAATATATGGGCGATAAGTGTTTGTATCATCGTGATTATATGATTGAAAAACTATACTTTATAGGATTTACATGGGGAAGAACAAGAGTGTATTGCAATTAACTGAACAGAAAAATAGATTTTTTTTGTTATAATATTCAGAAAAAAAACATTTATTTCCAATGTAATTGAAATGAAATGAAACTATCTTAATGGTTATTTTGACAAAATCATCTGTTTTTTTTTTCATTTTCGAGCATAAAATTGTCAGATGTAAGATAATTAGTGTGCTAATTTGTTGTTCAAAATGAAATTGCCAGATAATTGAATTCTGTGGGAGAAATTTCTGTACTGTTATTTATCACGATCCATTGAATTGATTTAGTTCTTTTTTGAACGATTTTGTCATGAATAAAATTATCAAAGTGCGCAATAAACACTCCAGAGCATGAACACATTGGCAATTTAAAAACTCCAGAAAAAAACATGCGACGTAAAAAAATTTTCTTAGACTTGAAATCAGTTCATATTAGTTCATCTTCATATTTTTAATGGAGTGTATTTTTT